TGAGGCCTTGTGTTCAAGATCCCAGCTCTAAAGAAAGGAAAGAAATGAAAAGGTAGGTGGCCTCCACTTCTCCAGGGCTGGTGGGCTCCGAGCCTCCTGACTCTCAGTGTGCTGGACCGCATAGAGTGGCTAGGGTTTTTTTTGGCCTGGGCGACTTTTTTGCTCACAGGTCACAGTCAAGCTTCTTAAACTTGGATGACAGTAAACCAATGACTAACTGGGTAATTAAAGCCACAAGTCAGGAGACCTGAGGCCCCTCCTCTGGAACCTCCTCCAGTGGCCTGTTCCACGGGCGATGCCCCTCACTCTTCCCCACAGCAGGAACGTTTTTGTGAATGTAAAGCCCTCTGCGGTGACCTCCACCTCCTCTCAAGGTCACTTCTCCACTTGTCCATTGCTCCATCCCCCCTCCCCACCCCACCATCCCTGTCCACTGCAAGGAAGGAGGAAATCTAACCACACGCCCCACCCGCTGCCCCAACGGGAACATGACAGAAGGTTTCCAACTAAAACCAAAGTTACTCCACAGCGCTTCCGCCAGGCTGACATGCTAGAAGGCATGGTGTGCTTCCTCTGCTTCAGGCACTCGAGAGCCTCCCCACTTCCTGGGGAGAGTGGATGAGAACTTCAAAGCTGACAAGGCTGCAGCTGAGAAGAGCTGGCTTGCTTCAAAGACGGTGTCTCCTCCGGGTCTGGAGCTCTTGGTGAATGTCTCTCCCTGCTTCTGAAACAAAATGAAGAGCTGCTGAAGTTTACGAGGTCCCCAGAGACATTTCTGTGTGCGTCCCTCTAACAGAGGGCCCCTGCGTCTGCACAGCAAGGTCCCAGGGCTCCCCTTGGCAGGGATGCTCTCTGTGTTTTACGCCTCTTTGATGCCTCTGCCCTCTTTCCGGCTGGCCCTCTGGCTGCCCCTGCATCCTCCGTCTTCTCCACCTGCCCTCTATCCCTCCTGCATCCCTGTTTTAAGCAGCAGCCCCTTTTCCACTGAGGAGACATGGGTGGAAGAGGAGTTACAGTTGGGGGTTGCAGGGCGATATGATTTTTTTTTTTTTTTTTTTTTGCGGCACGTGGGCCTCTCACTGTTGCGGCCTCTCCCGTTGCGGAGCACGGTCTCCAGACGCGCAGGCTCAGCAGCCATGGCTCACAGGCCCAGCCGCTCTGCGGCATGTGGGACCGGGGCACGAACCCGTGTCCCCTGCATCGGCAGGCGGACTCTCAACCACTGCGCCACCAGGGAAGCCCCTATATGATTTTTGTATGCTATTCCAGAATAGGTTTGTGGTTATTTTAATTTTTTAAAAAAATTAATGTTCCCTCCAAATCTTTGAGGATCTTTGATTGCAGGAAGCTGTGGACCATGCTAAGCCCGTGGCTCTCTGATGGTTACCCGCCTTGGCAGGCTGCTGCTTATGCTGGGATGTAACAACCAGGACATGAGAAGCAAGGGTAATCTGGATTTTTACTTTTTGGCGAGGCTCTCTTTACACTGAAACTGTAAAACTCTAGAAGGCAGGGCCTCTCTGACATTGAACCTCATGGTCTTGTGATAATGCCTGGAAAACAGTAACTGTTCTCAGAAGATGTGTGTTTGTTAGGTTACTGTCATTCCTTAAAAAAAAAAAAAAAGATTAAAGAAGTCACTCTGTGCTCTCAAGATGCTGCATGTGTAAGTGTTTAGGCCACATACATGTTGAAAAATTGCACATATATCGTCTTCATCTCGTATCGCCAAGACCTGATGTTACCAAACCTCTTGTCTCATCCACCGTCTTATCATCTGTGCTTAGCAGACTAAGACATAGCAAACCAGACAAACTTTCGGGAAACCTGCAGACATTTGAGGGCATTTGAGACAAAGAAATCCAATAGAGTTCTAAACGGAAATGAGAAGCAGAAAGACGGTCCTGTTGTAAAGTGGCCCCAAGCCTCAGACCTGCCTCGGATGTCACCAAGTGCCTCTGGCCTTCGGGGCCGTTGAAGATGCTCAGCTCGGCGTCTCTGCTGTGGCTGGACTTCCTGGCCAGCCAGGCCAGAGGGCGGCAGAGGAGGAAGTGCTGTGGGTGAGCTGGGTGAGGTGGGGGGAGCACAGTGCACACCCAGGGGTGACTGCAGGGAGGAGACTTAGGACAGAGGAAAGCACAGGACGGACGACCCCCTCTGCAGAAGTGACTTTCTGGCCCCCTCGTCTCCCAAACACGCTCTCCAACTAAAAAATATTAATTGTGCCTAATTCTGAAGGCCCACACGTGTGTGTATGTCTATACCTGTGTGTATGTCCTACCATATCTCTTTGTTCCTGGGGAGAAACATAAGCTACAAGCCTCACATGCCTCTTCCTTGCTGAGTTACTACTGCTTAAAAAGTCAGAGAAAAAAAGCTCAGCCCAACCGTCTATGAACAGATAAATTTAAGCAAGAACGGCTTGAGTTCCTGCCAGTTGCTGGTGAGGCAGTTGTTAAGTGTGATGACAACCACCAATTTAGTGAAGGGCCAGTAGTTTGTTTGTTTGTTTGTTTTTAAATATTGAAACCCTCTCAGTTATACTTGGATCCCTTACTTGAAATCATAGCAAATAGTAGCATTATGGTGACAGAAAGAATTCAACCACTTCCTGGTAAGTAATGAGTACTTCATTTTATTCTACTTTTCTAGAGTTAGTTTAGAAGTCACATCAAAGTAAACTTTTCGCTGATCATCCTTGAGTTTGCTGATCCCAAGAAGGGACTCAAGGGCAGGATCCCCTGGGATCCACTCTGAGCAATGGGGAGTCCCTGTCCCCCAGGCCATCTGCTGCCAACAAGCCAGGGGACTGGACCTGGAGGGCTGCGTTTTGGTCATAATGAGCCATCTGGCTGCCTGGCAGAAGGAGCCCATGGGAGTAGGTGTCTGAGATGTTACTGACATTACCACTGACCTTTGCCAAGGAGTGGCTTTGGTTTTATCCAGAATGGCTCAGCCTGGTGGTAAGAATACATCATCTTGGTCCAGGACACTTTCAGGGATTAGGCTCAAAATCCTCAGCCTCCAAATTGAATATTTTCTTGTAATTATTTTTTTAATTGAAGTCTAGTTGATTTATGGTATCACGTTAGCTTCGGGTATACAGCAAAGTGATCTGAGTTTGTTTTTTTTGCAGATTATATTCCATTATAGGTTATTACAGGATATTGGGTATAATTCCCTGTGCTATATGGTAAACCCTTGTTGCTTATCTATTTTATGTATAGTAGTTTGTATCTGTTAATCCCATACAGCTAATTTGTCCCTCCCTCCCTCCTTCACTCTCCCCTTTGGTAAACCATAAGTTTGTTGTCTGTGCTTTAGTCTGTTTCTGTTTTGTACATAAATTCATTTGTTTTATTTTTTATATTGCACATATAAATGATATCATATAGTATTTTTCTTTGTCTAACTTACTTCACTAAGAATGATATTCTCTAGGTCCATCCATGTTGCTGCAAATGGCAATATTTCATTCTTTTTTATGGCTACTTGAGTAATATTCCACTGTGTATATATACCACATCTTAAGCCAATCTTCTGTTGATGGGCACTTGAGTTGCTTCCATGTATTAGCTATTGTAAATAGTGCTGCTTTGCATGTCGGAGTGCATGTATCTTTTTGAATTAGAGTTTTGGTTTTTTCCAGGTGTATACCCAGGAGTGAAATTGTTGGATCATGTGGTAGTTTTTTAAGGAACCATAACTGTTTTCCACAGTGGCTGCACCAATTTACATTCCCACCAACAGTGTACAAGGGTTCCCTTTTCGCCACATCCTCTCCAGCATTTATTATTCGTAGACTTCTTGGTGATGGCCACAAGTTGAATATTTTGTTGAGCGCTAGGGGCGTATGCTGCACCTGGGTTGTTCTGCGACTACGTCCTGCCCATCCCTCTACCTATCAAGGAGGGGGGTCTCTACCTATATTGTTGCTCTTGCATGTGTCCTGACCCACCACAATGGCAGGGCCAAAGCCTGGCTTCTGGAGGTTTTCCTTTGTGTTTTAGATAAATGTGCAATTTAAGGATAAAGAGGGTTTGATATATAACGTAGCTTTAGAAGAAATCCTTTAGCTATTCCTTGCTCCCAACAAAATGCCACCCCCAAGATTTTCCCACATAGAAATTCTGGAGCCACTACTCATCTACTGGGATGTATGTCCTGAATAAATTGTTTCTGCTAGAGTACCAAAGTGCAGAAGTGATTAACCTTTAAAAACTAAATGAAACATCAAGGTTGTCCATGTCATAAGTTACTCCCATGTTACTTGGCTTTGGTTTTTTTTCTAGGTGGGAGAGGAGATGGTGTTACAGTCTGTATACTGGGTGTCACACCCAAGGAAGTCCAGGGAGTGGGCTGTGTTATTAGGGGTGGTTGGGAGCAGGGCAGACAGAGGCAGAGGGCAGGTGAGCACTGCCGATCCCTGGCCCTGCGGGGGGGGGGGGGCGGTTACACAGCAGTAAAGAAAGGGGATTTCGAGAGTCTTAGAAAGCCAGAGAACTTCCTTCCCCTCCAACCAAGAAAATCACCAAGGAGATGGATTTAACTCTTAAGACTTAATAGCCTCCTTTGGGGGTTCTGCTTTTTTGGGAATAGAATGTTGGAGCACAGCCAGACCAGTCCTCTGAGCCAGGTTTTCTACTCAGAGTCTCAGACTGTGGCTAGAAGTTGTGATTTGCTTGGTCTGAGGAATTTTGTAAATTCAAGGTGTCATCATGTTAAAATTGGGAGAATTCAGGTAACACGGAGACTTCTGACTTCTCTAAAGAAGCAGAAGTGTTGGCAACATTAAGCTGTCATTGGTGCACGGCAACAGCAGGCGAGAGCAGGTGCTGGCTGACCCGTTAGCTGAGGCACACCCGCTCCCCCCTACACACGTACCCGTGCATCCCCCCTCCTGCTTGGATGCCCTCCAGGCAGGGAGGGTCCTGCCATGGACCACCACACCCCCATTCTCCCTGCCACTCAGAAGCAGTCTAGACACACACTTCTGGATCAAAGTCAGCCCCGAGAGCCACGATTTATTCCTGCCTCTGCCCTCACACAAACACAAAAGGCTCCTCCCCATTTACTAAAGCCAAAGAATGTCAGCATTAACCCATGATTGAAACTTGTGAAAGAGGAGCTCAAGGCAGCTTTAGCCTTAGCATTCCACAGCTCCTCATCAGAACGGGGACTTTTTGTGACTCTGGGACAGCTGGAGACACATGACTGCATTCAGAATCTCATGCGAAGGGTGCCGGCCTCGAGGACGCAACTTGTGGGATTCCTGACGTGCTCCTCGGACTTGGGGCAGGCGTGCTGGGTGTTCCACACCACTGCACGATGGCAAGAAGGACTGGGCCGTCGGGAACAAGGCGGTGGACAGTCACTGTCTGGGCCAAGGTCCCGCTGGCCCCAGGTGAGGCCAATTCACTGGCTCCAAAGCAGAACCAGCTAAGAAACAGGCACGGCCCCGGTGCCCTCTCCCCAACGCCACGCAAGTCACACGCTCTGCCGTGCTGCCTGCTCCCCAGGGTACACGCCGACTCTCTCACGGGGCTTCACGGTGAGGGCCGCCGTCTCCTCTGGGCTGCACTGCGTGGAACTGCACAGAATATGCTTCAGGGGGCTTTGGAGTCAGAAAACACTGGAGCCCCGCGAGGCATCTTAGATAGCATCTGCTCCAGGGTTCCTAACGGAGACTGCTCTTCAGAATCACCTAGAACACAAAACCCAGATTCTGAGGCTCCAGATCCCACCTCCGCAGCCTACCCCCCAAAACACACACAGTGATTCTGCTGACCAGTCAGGTTTGGGGAACCACTGATATCGTCCGAACCCTTCACTTCTGTTTCTGAAGTACAATCCTGGGTTAAGTAAGTTTTCCAAGGTCACACAGCTGGTTTGGCAGGACTGGGCTTAAAGTACTGGTCTCTTGAATATAACCCAGGGCTTTTTCTACAACACACCACCTCCTGGATGTACCCATGAAGGGAATGCCAGACGACCCCAGAGGGTCTGGGTAAGGAAAAGGCTAAGAGGCATAGTCTTTGTGCATGTGAAGTAACCCCAGATAGTTTCCCAAATATTGGCTCCCACTGTGGTTTATGACTCAGATGCCATAGTCTCATGTCTTCTGGGCAGGAGATTCTGCTTCTGGCTCTATAATTACACCAGTTTCACTTGTCCTTTGAGAGGTCAGAGAAAGAACTGTGCACGTGTGTATAGACTTCTCTGTGCCTCAGTTTATCTCTATAGAAAATGGAGAGAATGGCGGCACCCTTATGCCTGCCTCTTTGGAGCTCTGCAGACCTATTGCATGACCACACAAAGGCACCCTGTGATCCCCTAGGCAGAGAAAGAAGCCTTCCGTATCCACACAGAGCTAGTCTTAAACTCAAGGCCACTCTTGCCACATTTTAAATAGTTCTATGTCAGAATACCACTGTGACTCCTCTAGCTACCCTGCACACCCTCCAGGAAGGGCTGCTCGTCTCCTCCTGGTCTCTGGAGGGCTGGTGAAATATTTCCTGTGGGTGATCTTGGGAGGAGCCCCAGTTTTGAAGGACTAAACAAGATTAAAAAAATTAGATACTACTACTAGCAGTGAATAGCTGGCACTGAGTTGTTATTAAGTGCCAGGCACTCTGCCAAACACTTCACATGCATTTAATCCTCACTACAGCCCTATAAGTGAAGTGTTATGAGTATTCCCATTTTACAGACGTGGAAAATGAGGCTCAGAAAAGTTAACTTGCCCAAGATCACGTAGCTGCTAAGTGACGGAGCCGTGATTCAAACCCACATACTCCAGTCTCCAGGTGCAAAGCTCTGATAAAGGGGGTGGATGAACAGGTCACTGTCGTCATGAGGTTAACCCTCCACGTGACACTGCCTTGTACTTGCCAGTGGAATGTCACGCCCTAATGCAGCTCAAGCCAAGGGCAGCTTGGGCGCTGCAGCTGTGATTGTCTGCTGGGATGTTCACAGCTCCTTCCGTTCAGGGACTGCCTGACCCAGCCTGACCAAATTAGAGCATCTAATGGGCATGACATAATTTGACATGTACATTGTTAGCTGAACCCCTTGGGAGATGATTTTAAATAGAGACAATACCATGCTGTGAACTATTTTGGGTCACGGAGCCCTTATTCTCTAACTCTTGCAGGAAAAAAGAATTGTGCCGTGATAAACTGAAAACCCCCAAGAAGCTGTTCCAGGGTCAGGAGAGCAGCAGGCTAGCTGGATTGGCAGAGATTCTTCCTGAGAGTTTCAGGGATTTCACCCTCATTTCCTAGCACTTCATCCCCCAAACATTCCCAAAACCCTAGTTAAGAACTGCTAACTCTACCCATCCTCCTCCTAGAGACTCCCTAACCAGGAGGATTCAGAACCCCAGTCAAAATCCAGCACTGGTAAGACTGCAAAACAGGCACAGCTTGAAGCCCCCATATGCAGCCCCCATCCTGCTTTTCCCGTTCTCAGGTGCACAGAACCAGCAATCTACCCAGGGCCATGCTGAGGGACCACGCAGGTCCACGCTCTCTGGGCATCACCCGATGCCCAACTCCTAGTCATAGCAAGTCTTCCCTGTCCTATTTCCCATGCCCTCATACTTGCTTCCTGACCTTCCTAAAGAGTATGTGCATCCCTGTGTGCTAGTGCCACTGATACTCATGGCTTAATATGTGCTCATCCTCTCAGGCAAGACCTACTGACTATGACACGTAACCAGCACCCAAGAAATGTTTAGTGTTGAATTAATGAATGAAGGTAAGAGTAACAGTTTCTCTGGCAATCCCATGCCTTACTCCCAACCAGTAAGTTCAATACTGGTTTTCAGGCTAATAAAAATGAATTTGGGAGCAAAAGACCGTTGCCTTTTAAAAAACTGAAGCCCTTGAAATAACACTACTTGAGAAGGATGACCAGGAGAGATATAGAGCACATGGTGGCCTTCCCATATGCATTTCTTTCTTCCCCTTCCTAGCAGGGCCCCATACTTCCCAGCCATGCACTTGGGAAGGATTAACCTAATTGCAGTTCTCTGGGCAGACCTCGGTCGGTTCAAGCCATCCAGTCGGTTCCATTGTCCTAGCTACCCTAGCCACAGTGATTGGCTTGGGGATGGCCACCTGGTCCAGATATAAGGAGATTTTGCTTTCGTGATCATTAGGTGGGACAGTCTAAGAATAAAACCATGGGAGACTAAGAAGAAATGGAAAGACACTGGGTCTTCATTGGCTTGTCCAGCTACTACATCTGGCCTTACCTAAGCCCACTCAACCTCTGGTCTTCTCAATTACATAAGCAAACAAAGCCTTTTTTGTTTAAGCATAATGACTACATAATACAATAATACATAACCCCTTGATTCCTTTTATGATTGAGCTCAGAGACTATTTTGTCAAGTTACATCACCCTTATCTTACAGCTTATTTAACTTAAAAAAATAAACATACCAAAAGACAAACAAATGAAATCCCTAATTTTTCACTCTCTGGTCAAAGCCTTCCAAAGATTCCCTAGGCTTGTGATGTCCCAGGTGAAGGAGGAAATAACAGTGGTTTCAATAAGATAGAAGCTTATTTCTCTCTCATACAAAATAAGGCTGGATTCTGGCTGGTATGGGAGCTACAGTGTCATCAAAGTTCCAGGTTTCCTCTGTCTTTTAGTTCTGCCATACTTAGCATATGGCTTCCATCTTGAATTCACTTCACGGTCCAATGTGGCAGCTAGAGCTCCAGCCATCACATTGATCTTCCTGTTCCAGGAAGGCACAGGAGGGAGAAGGGAAAAAAAAAAAAAGATGACATCAGTAGTCTAGCCCCTCTTAAGGCATCTTCACAGAAGATCAACCCAACAACTTCTGCTTGTATCTCAATGGCCAACCCAGCTGCAAATGTGGCTGACAAATGTAATCTTCCAGCTGGGCACATTGTCATCCAGTTTAAAATCTTGGTTGTGTTATGAAGGAAAAAGGGGAGAGTAGATACTGGGTAGGCAACTAGCAGTTTCTGCCCCACCCCACTTAACAACCAAGCCTGGCTTCAGCGTTCGGTTCTTTTTTTTTGAATTTTATTTTATTTTATTTTATTTTTAATACAGCGTGTTCTTATTAGTTATCTATTTTATACATATTAGTGTATATATGTCAATCCCAATCTCCCAATTCATCCCACCACCACCACCTCTGGTGTTCATTTCTGTCGCTCGGTACCTGCTCCTCCAAAGAGACCCCCTGGTTCAAGCTGCAATTACTCTCTCTGCAGACCCTTAACATCCCAAGTTGGTCCCCCCTCCACCCTGCCCTCCGCCTGCCAAGGATCTTCTGACCAGCATCTTCTGATTTATCCAGTTGAGAAGCACTTATTGAGCCAATAAATAAGTAAATTAGAACACTTTAGTCTTTCATTAGCATCTTGGCTTCAGTTTAACTCATAGCACACTTGACCTTCTTCTCTGTCTTGCTCTAGTCAGACCCATTCGTACTTACCCTTCTTCATTCACCAGTCTCCCTTGAACTGTGTTCTTTCCGACACAGGTCTGCTCTTCAGTATCAGTTTCTAACTTCTTTCTGACATTAACGTTCTCGGTCCCATGGGTAAGAGCCTAGGGCAGCAAGGGCTATGGTCAAAACAGCAGCTGAGTGGGGGCTGGTCTGCAAATCTTCATGGGTGACAGGGTGTGATTTTGTCTGGGGACAGGTGACTGAGGCCAGGGCAATGACTTCTTTTTCAGTTCTCCCAAGGCCTTCTGACCCGTTCTTGTACATTTCAGATCCCACGGACAGCATTGCAGGCCTCAGTTAGCAATGAACAGCACACACAAGGCAAATCAAACAATAATAATGAAGTGAATTATTGCCTTGCTAGAGGCAACACATCTGCTCCTCCGTATATCACCTGCACAAAAGCAGAAAAAAACAAGAAAAAAAAAATCAATGTCTGATAATGCTAAAAAAATGTGTTACCTTGAGTCCTCATATAAAATTAAATTTTGATTTTAATTATAAACTGAAAGCTATTGTAACTCAAAAATGTACATTCTCTTATGTCTTTTCAAATAGCAACATCATTAGGCAGATGTGAACAATTATCCCCAATTGGATTTTTTTTTTTAAGTTCTTCAGAGGAATAGATAGGTTATTGTTTAAATCCTTGGTTTAAAACTAAACCTATGAGACACAATATTATAGGTTTAACCAAGAGGGCTTGACTTTGGATTTAGAAAGTTTAATTGATCCAGTCATCCCTTTTATTAAAGCTCTCCATATATTTTTAAACCAAAGAATTGTAGTAATGCATATTTTAGGGCCAGAAGCATTCATCATCTTGACGACCAAGTGATAAATGGTGAAAAGATTTGAGATCTAAGACACTCTGTTACTATATTGAAAGGTCAGGTAAAGAAATTCCAAGGGAAGGTGTCGGCATATGTCCCCTCTGCTTTTTAATTTCCAATGACAGACAGTGACATCACCATTCCAAACACTTGCCAGTTGGATCGAACAGAACTCGATTCTCCAGCATAAACTAAAAAGAAATGCATCTTGCTGAAAAGCGAGTCTGTACTCAGGTGTCACACCACCATCAGCGTGACAGGATCCCCACGGAAAAGCAATGCTGGGAGTGACTTCACTCCCTTAGAAGCACGGTCACCAGGACCCAAGGATGTCAGGGGGAACTGGTTGGATCTCAGAGGACGTGTCTTTTTGGTGCAGGAGAGGGCATACTGAGGAAGGCAGATGCTGAAATGGACACGGCTTATCTCAGAAAGGTCATTTGAAGGAAAATTTACCCAGGAATGACATTCTCCTCTATCTTGGAGTAGAAGACCAGCCAGATACCGGCAGCCCTACAACCTGGGCTTCTTTCCAGGGCTGCAGCTCCCCTACAGGCGGTTGAGCAATGTCACGCTGGCAGCACAGAAACCCTGGACAGGCCTCTGAGGCTGGGGAGTCTGACCAATAGCTCACCGATGAGAAATTGCACTGTCCTTGGAGACATTGCCTTGCCTAGACTTTAAGAGCCTCCCTTGTTTTTTCCCCTCCAGTATACCATAGCCAGATTTCCTCTCCCCTTCCTGCTGTAGCATTTTGCTCCGAGGACCTTGAGCCACAAAGCTAAGGGGGGGGGGGTGTGCATATCATTTTACACAAGAGGCATAGGTGCTGTACAACTAGCTGTGCGATGTTGGGCAAGTCACTTAACTTCTCTGTGCTTCAGTTGCCACAACAGTAAAGTGGGGATTATGATTGCGTTCACCTGAAATGGCTGTTAACCAGCATTCAGCGAAATCCTACTGGAAAGTGCTGAGGAACAGTGCCTGGCTCATAGAGCTCCACAAAGGCTGGCTGTCACTGCAGCTGACAGGGGAGCAGTTTCTCCCTGGGTTTCCACTGCAACGCATGTTTGCCTCTCCCAACACGGGACAAAGATGATAAGAAAGTGAAATGTCTCACTTGGTCTAGGAATCCTTTCGTCAGTGGTTCCTGAGTTATCAAAAGATATCTATGTGTGTGTATGTAGATTCCTTTAATTTCCTAAAGACTATGCTGATTTGGTTACTTTTTAATCTAATGGTGAAAGGCTATGTATTCAGCCGTTAGGGCAGGCTTCAGGAACATGTGGATAAAATGTAACCAGCGTTATCTTGGTTCAAATTCCTTTTTTGTGACCAACTGTTGTCTCAATGAACCTTCGCAGGGTTTTTGTTGGTTTTTTTCTTAGTTACAGCAGAGAATAAAATAAACACATCCAGGCCTTCTCACACAGATGTAGGCTGACGCCCAATTAGGTCTGTGGAGGCCTCATTTTGGCTCCCTGGTCACCATGCCGAGCAGATTTCATGCATGTTGAAGACAGTCCATTAGTTCTTGGCAAGGAGAATCAAGTTTTCAAAGCTGCTTTCTCTCACCCCCGCTTCTCATACACAAAACCTTGTTGAAGGGGAGAGGCTCTCCCCCAGTTGTGGAGAAGAGAGGTCAACCCCATCCAGATCACCCCAAGAGAGATCACCCCACCAGAGCCTTGACAGTCATCATCTCCAGGACGGCCCTGGACTGTGCTCCATCATTAGATTCGCAGGGCACCACCCAGAGTTAAAAATCTCTCCTTCCCGCTCAGGAAAGAAGCATTTTTATTTCAAAATCATACAATGAGAGATTTGAAAAGTAGTTTGCAACCTTCTCTGCCTCTAGGGAAGGCACGTCCATTCACGACCGAAATGTTCCCTCAGTGCATTAGGTGTTGCATTGACTGAGCTTCTGACCTCTCACGGTGCAGCCGAAAAGGAAAAAAGACGTTTTGCCTCTATCTGTTACAATGGAAATGTAAGCCATGATGATATGGGTTGAGCCAGGGTTCTCAATGGAATCTTTAGACTGGTTCCTGGGAGGAAAAGCCAGTAGGTTTCTGTTATAGTACCAACTGCCCCTGGGAGTGGGTTCCTTGACCTAAATGTGCTGTGAGCAAGGCTTCCCTTCCCGTAAGGGAGTGAGCACTGTAGTGAAAGGTGCTGAGGACCAATATTCACCAGCAACCAGCATTGTGGAGCATGGTTACCATGGTAACACTGTCAGCCCCAAATGACTGTCATGAGGTGAAAAAATTATCTTAAAATAAATGAAACCAGAAAAGGTATATTTATCAACCTCTTACCAAACACCTATCTGTATGCAAAGTAGAACCTCTTCCTTAAGCTACAGATACTAGAAGATTGGGAGAAATTTCATGACATAAACATTTTCTTAAAAGAATTGTTATTCTCACCCCCTAAAAATGGTCGGTAAAAATAACGAATACAGATTTTTTTTTTAAAACAGGGAGAGTTCTAAGGAGTGATTGGCCTATACACTTAGATATTATGCAGTTATGACATTAAAATTCTGCACTAAACTACCAATAGTTTGTTTGAAATTTGCAGAATGGTACTTGGCTGGGAGTTTTCTTCTAAGTTGTACAAATTATTTCTGGCAGGACCAATGAAGGAAGTGTCATAAAACGTGCTATACAATGGGAAAAAGATATTGGTCACACAGCTAAAAACACGCGGGTACAGTTTTTGCCCTGCTCTTGCGTAGCTCCGTGTGCGCTTGCCTTTCCTTATGAACAGAACCACCATTTTATTTAGAGCAGCAGTGTGTCCAGCCAGAATACCCAGTTTCACAGCCTCCCTAGCAGTCAGAGGTGGCCAGGTGATGCGGTTCTGGGCAGTAACGATAGGCAGAAGTCCCGGGGGTGGATATTGTTGGGAGACAGTTCTCTGTGGTCTCTCTCATTTCTATATACCTTGCAAGCAGAGGCACTTACTGATAGCAGCAGAGTATCTTCCCAAGGATGCTTGCATAGCATACAGCCTTGGAAGATAGAGATGCTGTCTCTCCAGAGCAAAGGGGAGGCTTGCTTAGAACCTTGGAAGATAGGGATGGTGTTTCACTCCAGAGCAAAGGGCAGGCCTGCCTACTGCCAATTGTGTAAGATTTGGGGAACCTGAGTTCAAGGTTCCTCTTCCATGAGGCAACCCACTGAGTGCACCGGCATTCCTGTGGGCCTATCTGTGCCACCCCTATGGGACTTGAGGGTGAGGAGAACTACAGCAAATCGTGCTGCTTGCTGTGTACTGAGTAATAGTGCTGGCTGCCTCTGACCTAGGAGTCTCGTGACTTCTGCCAGCAACCATGAAACCATGGCAGGCTAACTTCTTAGCTTGCAAACAGGACGAAACCTCAGGTCCTTCATTTTTCTTGCTTGGATAAAAAAAGAAAGCTCTTGCCCCGTGGCCCTTCTCCTTTCTTCCTGCCCTAAGGTACAGCAACCATTTGGGGACCACGTGGTGACAGCATGAGGACACAGGTCTGCATGCTAAGGATGGCAGAGCAAAAAGATGATGAACCTGGGTCCTGATAGAGAATTACTGTGCCAGCCCTGGGTTGCATAACTTCAGGCTTGTTATATGAGATGAATGAGCCTCTACTTACTGAAGTCAGTGTTGTTTTTCTCCAAGCAAATGCATCCCTGGAGTTTGTATCAAATATAGTAATTACATAATAGTAATCGTGTCAAACATATGCAACTTAGGGCACGTATGTTGCTACCTTCCTTACTTCTTGATCCAGATTCTACCTTTCTGTATATTAAAATTATTACATGTATCCTTTATAAGTTAATTCAAATCCTTTTGGGAAAATCAGGGAAAAGTCAATTCAGTAAGTACAACTTAGTCCTGGGCCACATTTATCCCTGAACTATGAGTTATCCCTTAAGTTATTTGTCAAGAAGCCAGTAAAAACAATAGGACTCTCTCTTTCTGGAAACATCTACCACATGCCATGAGGTCTGTTTAGTCACCAGTATGTATCCAGCACCCAGCAAAATGGCTGGCTCATAGCAGGCCCTCAAATTCGTATTAACCAAGTATTCCTGAAAGGTCTCTCTTTATCAGATGTGTTGGTTATGCCCCCGCAAAATTAAGATTTAACACAGAGTATTTCAATATATTAGGTCTGTCGTTTGACTATAACAAGCGTTTTAAGAAAAGACCACAGGTCAACTTCAAAGAAACAGCTTCTTATCTTTGTTCCTTATGACTATAAAATGCTGCATAACTTAACAATGGAATCCAGAGAATCTGTTCAACCTTGAAAACTGGTGCGATAGGGATACCAAAAGTAATACCAACCATCCTCAGAGATGAACACATCTTTGAGTGTCATGTACACAAATGATTTTTAGAACATTAGATAAAATTTGAAACTTGTGTCAGGGGACTTCCCTGGTGGTGCAGTGGTTAAGAATCCGCCTGCCAATGCAGGGGACACGGGTTCGAGCCCTGGTCCAGGGAGATCCCACATGCCGCGGAGCAGCTAACTACTGAGCCTGCGCTCTAGAGCCTGCGTGCCACA